AGATTATTAATAAAGTTTAATAAAGTTTTTAAGATTTGAGTTTGGCCAGAGTTTGGATTTGGGTTGTCCAAACCCAAACTATAATTAGTTTGGGATTTTGCCAACATGTATACCTGTGGGCGTACCACGGTTTAATCAGCCAATCATACGAATGTCTTACCATGAGTCTGTATCACCGTATTTACTAACTAATAACCAGTTTGTTCAAAATAATCATGCAATCACGCGTCACGCGGCGGGCAAACAAAAAATTTCCAAATTACGACATTGACATATTTGTTTATGATAATTATGTGATACATCAAAAAAGAATTTCTCATGGTCAAATGTATCAAAAACGCAACTTTTGTATCGACGTTCCGGACAAAGAATTTTTTGCCTTTGAGTTTCAAAACATAATTTGTGGCATTGAATCACTATCCCTAGCTTTGACCTACATCTGTGGTTTTGTTTTATGAACAATTAATGTATAAGCCACAAAATAAAAGAAAAATTAAAGTTTTTTTTGCATAACTGGATCCTGACAAATGCGAAAAATCAATGATTTATATATATTAGGTTCATGCGTACGTAATGAACTAAAAAAAAAAAAACCTTAATCGGCCTCTGCCCATTAGGTTGCGGGTCGACCCTCGGCCCGCTCGCCCGCCCGCACGGCCGGTGGACCGGATCAGCTCATATCCTATCTACTGTACAATCAAATCCCGATTCTATTGAAACATTAAACGTGATATTTATTGCGTAATCAATAGATACATACGTACCTAATACAGTCAATACTTTGATTGAACATTGGATAAATGCCCAAAAAATTGCCATTGGACCATTGAACCATTTGACATGACATCACCGCCTATTGTAGGAGATTACGCAACAGTCAACTCACATTACTGCATTAACGCTAAATGCAATTTCAATCTAAATGTATGCTATGTCGATGAATTGCTTAGAAAAATTATGTACATATTGGAAATTTGAACAAAAAAAAAAAAAAATAGTATACATGCGACTCTAAGGTGTGGAAATACCAGATTACATAAGAAATTGAATAATCAACTCGTGTTTAATAGTTGGTCTTATTTTTTTCTTTCTCATTATTGAAACATATACATCTATACTACATAATAAAACATATAAAATTACATATTTCATATTTTTACAAACGTACCATAAATCTATTTGTTAAATTCTATTTTTAAAAATTCTATTTGTCAAATTCTATTTGACGAAATTTTGCCACATTCTATTTGTCATGTTCTATTTGCCATATTCAGATTTGCTATTTCTATGTTCAGGATAATACGAATGACAAACGAATCAGTAATCGAATTTTTTCTATTCAGAATAATACAAACGAATCAGTAATCGAATCTTCCTATGGCTCTATTTATGTACAATATTTATATTACATTCACTTGGTTATATTCAGATTTGGCATCGGTAGTGGTGGTTTGATAGTCAGAATTAAAATTCACGTTTTTTGTTGTCAATGTTCAGTTAAGGTTTAAGGTAATGTTTACGCGCGTGTGATTAAAAATATTTTGTCATATTCATTATTTTGCTTACTGGGCGTTTTTGCGAAGTGATTGGAAATCTAATAATAATCGACTAATGTATATCGCTTCATTATGAATTGCAGGATAGTGGTGTTTTTTTGATATTACAGAATTAAAATCCCGTTTTTGTTGTCAATATTCAGTTAAAGTTTAAAGTAATGTTTACGCGCATGTAATTTAAAAATATTTCGTGTCATATTATTTTGCTTACTGAGCGTCTTCGTGGAGTGATTGGAAATCTAATAATCGACTAATGTATATCGCTCCATTATGAATTGCAGGTTGGGTAAATGTCTTATTTATCAGGTCCACAAATCTTTTTTCTTCGGCAAGATCAAATTGCTCTGAAATTGGTGTTGATTCTTTATAAATATAAAAAGTTATTAGTTTTACGTACGTACATTATAATACGAAAGGGGAAACTCGCGTTTTTTTTTTTTGCGAATTTATCATTAATTTTATTTTACAAAATTACAAAAAAAAAAAAAAAAGTAAATGTGAATTTATGTACCAATATTATCACTTATTGCTGTTACCCAGTTACATAAAATATCGCTTAGTTCAACAGCCTTTGGACGATTTTGGGGATTTTCATCCCAACATCGTTTCATTAATGTAGAATATGCTTCTGGAGTACCATCGACAATTTCTGGCCTTAAACCGTCACATATGCGTTTTGCAAGATCAAGATCATGAGGATACTGACAAAAAGGAGGTACAAAAGAAGAAAGCGTCCACATGATTATTCCGAAGCTATATATGTCCGATTCCTGTGTATATCCTTTACCTTTCAAGACTTCAGGAGCAACATAAGGTAAAACACCATAAAAACCAGAACCTGTTCCATCAGCGGGCCCGTGTAATCCAATATCAGAAATTTTTAAATGAATTGATTCTGGATGTTCTTCAATTAACAAGTTACCACAATGTAAATTGCCATGATAAAAGCCATTATCATGAATTCGTTCAAGGCCTCCAGACACCATTCCCCAAAGCATATCTATTATATCTCTCCAACAAAGGCATCCCATAGTTTTAGTAAGAAATTCTTGTAAATTTCCATATTCATAAAATTTGGTCACAAACATGTAACATCCTGTTGGGTCACGTGTAACTCCAAAACAATCTACGATTGCAGATCCGGTTCTATAACATTTGTGGTAATTTAGAATCTAAATATATAAAATTATATTAGTATTATTATTATTTTTGTTTAATTAACGCAAATACAGGCGACCTCTCGATATAAAAAAATCTTGAATTTTTCTTCCATCGAGATTTTTATAAATAAACGTTTTGTTTCACTAGGCTCTAAAATTTTGCTGATTAAATCTAGTCATTTTCCTAGTAAAGACAGTTCTTTATTCAGGGTTGATCAAATCGGCGTTCATTGGTCAAAGGGTTTCTGATATAGTTGTTCTATAACGGTCTGGTCGCATCTATTTATCGTCTATTCATCTATTTATAGTAAATCTATGTATTAATTTACTCATAAAATCGATTATTTGATATTAGTATGAACTTTTAAAAAATTTTTTTAAAAGTTTTTACATAATTTATCAAAAACTATTATTAAATACATATATGTTTCGGCGATTAAAAAAAGGTTTTACAATTTTAATGCAACTAGACATTTATCAAAGTGTTAAAGCCTATTTAAAATCGAATGACCAGTTTGCCAAATTAATTAACTAGTATGTCAAATTAATTTAACCAATAGGTTATTTTTAACTAACTACTAGGAAAAAATGATCTGCAATACATGCATTAGGATTCCACAACCGATTAAAATCGTAATCTGTAAAACAGCGAAAAACTAATGCTAATGTTTTTATAAATCCGGATGTCTGATAGTGTCTGTTTTCCTAATATGTATATCAAATTTGACCAGTATTGAGCTCTTGAATCAGACCGATTAAAATCGGTCAGACCAAACTTTACCGTTGACCAATCCATGTCAACCCTATATTAAATCATGTCGAGAGTCACTTGTATCATATTTATAATGATAGTGAAGCATACTTTGTTCAAATACTCATGGCTTATATTGCAAGAGTTGTCGATTCTTTTTAGGGCGCATTTTGTTGGACCGCTTCGTATCCAGTCGGGGCATTCACTATCTAAAATATGCCTTGGACCACTTATCCAAATCGCCGAATATATGGTACTAAATGCGCCTCTTTCAATATATTTTACATGTTCAAAATCTTCAAACGGAATAAATTCGAGGTAACCCACACCATCATTGGATAATAACTGGGTTTGCTGTATCATATAATCAACATTCATATTACCGCTCGTCCATTCTGAAAATTTTCTTTTAAGAGCAGCAACCTCACAGGTTGAGCACCATTGGAATCCGCTACATGGCTCTAAACATTCAACACAAGAACCAAATCGGCTTAAAAGTGGTGACTCAACAACCGAAGCTAATTGAAATGTCATTATTGTAAATCTTACCCACATTTTTCATCGTTCGAAATATCGACTCTTTTTATAATTTAGAACCATGTGGAAGCAAAAACATGTGGGAAGCACAAAACTAGTCATGCTTTGTTTCAGATAAATTAGCAGTTATGAATATGAGTTAGATCCGAATATAAAGCAACCTCAGTTTAGCGCTCTAAAGAGTCTTTTAACAAACTCAATAAAGAATTGATTGGTCAAACTAATAAAATTGGCCAATCGAATTATGAGAGAGGTGCTTGAGAACGCTTAAAGTCTCTTTTATACCTGTATATAAGAATGGTGCAAACAGCTTAAAGTCATTCAATTTATTGTTTTCTTTCTTTCTTTTTTTTTTTTTTGTTTGCTTTAAAAGAAACCATATCTGCTTAATAAAACAATTACAAACTGCAAAAGAAATAAATGCGTAGTATCTCTATTTTTATAATTTTTTTTCATTGGAAGACGTACTTTAAAGCATTTTTGACAGCATGTACGCTTGCACTAAATTTCATACTTAATACTAATCTTTGTATGCATTGTATATGCGCATCTGAAGTTAATATATCAGGCATTTGAAGTATTATAATGCTTACCTGACATTACTAATGCTTACCTGACATTACTAATGCATGCAAGAGTACCTACTTTACAGAAACTTGTATTTTTGTTAAATATGTTTTTAATATAATTAAAATATTTTTATTATATTTTTAAAATATTT